GCAGGCATTTAAAATCCCCATGTACAGTTGATGTGAGCATGTATTACCTATGGACATAGACGATAGGGTGGTGAGGGCCTGGGGTGGGGTGAGAACTGGGTAGAGGGGAGCTATGGGGGGAAAAAGAGGAACAACTGTAATAATCTGAACAATAAAGATTTAATAATAATAAAAAAAAGTAGGGGAGTTCTTGAACCCTTGTGACAGTCTGGTCCAGGTGAACTGCTCCTTGGGCCCTGTAGTTGGGTTTTCCCATTCGAAAGTGAAGAGAGGCTGACTGGAAGGTGCTAACCGAAGACAGAAAAAGGCATCTTTCAGATCTAGGCATGTAAACCATTGTGCCTCTGATGGGATGAGTCCCAGAAGAGTGTAGGGGTTCGGCAGTGCTGAATGCAGGGTTATAACAGCCCGTAGATCCTGCACCGGGCGGTAATCGTTATTCCCAATCTTTTTGACAGGCAAGAGAGGAGTGTTCCATGGAGACCTGCATCGTTTAACAAGTCCCCACTGAAGCAGCCTTTCTAAGTGGACCTGGATTCCTAGGCGTGCTTCCCTTGGAATTGGATATTGGCGGATTTTAACAGGATGTGCCCCAGGCTTGAACTCGATTAGCTCCGGGGCGTGGTCCTTAGCCAGGGCTGGAGGGTTCCCTTCTGCCCAGACCAGCGGGAATTCCTTCTCTAATTCAGGTTCTAATGGTGAGGCCTTTGTCTTCCTCCCTCAGCACTGCTAAGGACAGGATCATTGGGGCGGTCTCCTTACCTAGGCGAAGCTGTGCTGAGCCATCTTGAGCAAAAGTGATTTCTGCCCCCATTTTGGCTAAAAGGTCTCTACCCAATAGAGGCACTGGACAGTCTGGCAAGTACAGGAATTCATGAATTACTTGATGACCGCCAAGTTGGCATCGGCGAGGGCGGCAGAATGGTCTACGGGTCTGGTCCCCAGTAGCTCCAATAATGGTGACCTCCTTTCCTGAGAGAGGCGCTACTTTCTGTGTGACTACTGAGTGCTCAGCTCCCATAGCAACCATAAAAGTCCACGTTCTGGCCCTTAGTTTTCATTCTGACCATGGGCTTGTGGGGGCCTAGCTGAAGTGAGCCCGGTCTGTCCTAGTCGGAATCAGCCATTGCTAGCTCAATGAGATCTACTTCAGGTGGCTCTGGTTGATAACAACTGGGTGGAAAAGGGGGTACAGTCTTCTTACTTTGCCGTTTGGGACATTCATTCTTCCAGTGTCCTGTTTCCTTACAATAGGCACACTGGTCTTATCTCAGGCTCACTCTTCCTTTTGCCCCTGGTCTGTATCCTTGCTGATCTGTCTGGGAGCCTGAGCCTCTAAAAGCCACTGCTATTATATTGGCCCTTCTTTGTATTCTCTTTTCTTCCTCCTTCCTTGCTGCACTGTCTCGACTGGCTTCTCAGTTTTATCACCAGCCATTTTGCAAGATGGGAAAGAGCGAGATTGGTATTATTTCTTTAAATATTTGATAGTAGTCATGCCGAAACCGGTTTGGCTCGGTGGGTAGAGCGTCGGCCTGCGGACTGAAAGGTCCCAGGTTCGATTCCAGTCAAGGGCATGTACCTGGGTTGCGGGCACATCCCCAGTGGGAGATGTGCAGGAGGCAGCTGATAGATGTTTCTCTCTCATCGATGTTTCTAACTCTCTCTCTCCCTTCCTCTCTGTAAAAAATCAATAAAATATATATTTTTTAAAAAAAGAAGTCATTATCTGGAACTGGAGATTATTATGGAGCAATTTTTTAAAAATAATGAATTCAATTTTTTTTATAGAAATCTGATTAAAGGCTAATCAGTTTAATATCCATTTTGTGCCTGTCAGGGAATTTTTCTATATCATCAAACTGTTAAATTTGGTTTAAAGTTACTCATACTAACTCTCTATTATTGTTTTGATGTCTGTAGGATATTTCATTTTTAAAGTTTCTGATGTTGGTAAATTGTATTTTCACCCTTTGGTTTTTGGTCAGTCTTGTTATTGATTTATCAAATTTTTAAATCTTCAAACAACTAATTTTTTACTTTATTTTCTCTAGCCTACCGGCTTTCTATTTCATTGATTTCTGTTGTTTTATTTTCTTTCTTCTACTAACTTTTTAAAAATTATTTTGTTTTATTGCTTAAAGTATTACAAAGAGTGTTACATATGTCTCCTTTCCCCGCCCCGCCCTTGACATTTCCCCAGAGGAGGCCATAATATTGAACATAGTAATCTCCCATTATCCATGAATAGGAATCAAACTGGTGACTGGTGCATGGGACGATGCTCAACCAACTGAACGACACTGGCCAGGGCAATAATTCTTTCCTTGAAGTATATTTTATCTGCTATCCTCCATTCTATTTTGAACCTCTGTCAATCAAATTTTCAATAACATCTCTTCACCAAAACTGTTCCTGTCAAGATCACTAATGATCTCCATATTGTTAAATCCAATAGCAATTCTCAGTTCTTATGTTATTAGACTATAAAAACATCAGCTTTCCTACATAATAAAGATTGCTCTAAGTCACATATTAAGACACAAATTCAATTACCGGTAACACAAAGAAAATTGTTAATGTTTAACTCCCATGGACAAACATTATAATATTTTTATAGATATTCAATATTATACTCTGCTTTGTTCCTGTAAACAGCATTACTCTTTTTGTTTTCAAATGTATATTTGACCTTGTTTCTAATATGTTATCAGTGTCTGTTTCACAATCATGAATATAAATATCAGTATACCTTTTCCAATAACCTTTTTGGCATTTTGCTTTCTTCCTATACCAGTGATGGCGAACTTATGACACGCGTGTCAGAGGTGACACGCGAGCTCATTTTTTTGGTTGATTTTTCTTTGTTAAATGGCATTTAAATATATAAAATAAGTATCAAAAATATAAATCTTTGTTTTACTATGGTTGCAAATATCAAAAAATTTCTATATGTGACACGGCACCAGAGTTAAGTTAGGGTTTTTCAAAATGCTGACACGCCGAGCTCAAAAGGTTCGCCATCACTGTCCTATACTGCAGTTCTCATAAATGGCAATGCTTTATTTCTAATGTTTCTGTGGTCTTTTTCCACAGAAAATTGGCATTTTTTTGGAAGGATGTAGAGCAATACAGATCCTGAGAACAGTGGAGGTGGGGTTCCAGGATTTGACCAAGTGTGCATATGGTAAAACCTCTGATATCTTACTTCCTTCAGTGTCCAGGAAACTCCACAACCAAGCTGTTTTTAGAGAGATTATGCAAATAGAGACACATCCCCAACTGATCTGGAGATTGAACCTGCAACCCAGATCCATGCCCTTGACCAGGAATGAAAACCTCAACCCTTCGGTGCGGGGCTGACTCTAACCACCGAACACACTGCCCAGGACTAAGTTTTATTTTTACATAATTTATATATCTTAAAGTTTACCCATTTAAAGTGTACAATTCTATTTTTTTCATCATTTTCACAGAGGTGTGGAAACATATGCTAATGTCAGAGTGTTTCTATGGCCCCAAGAAGAAACTTTGAGCCCTGCCAGGTAGCTTATTTGGTTAGAGTGTTGTCCTGATACACCAAGGTTCCGGGTTTGATCTCCCCTCAGGGCACATACAAAAAGCAACCAATGAATGCATAAAGAAGTGGAACAACAAGTCAATGTTTCCTTCTCTCTCTCTCTCTCTCTCTCTCTCTCTCTCTCTCTCTCTCTCTTGTCAATAAATAAAAAAAAGAAAAGAAACTTTTTACCCATTAGAAATCATTCCCTATCCTCAGCTCCTTCCTAATTTCCTCCTTTAGTTTCTGGGCCACCACTAAGCTACCTTCTTTCTCTCTAGAATTGCCTGTTCTGGAAATTTCATGTACATTGAGTCATATAATATGTGGTCTGTTGTGACTAGCTTTATATTCTTATGTTTTAAAGGTTCATTCACAGTATATATCAGTACTTCATTCCTTTTTATGTCCAAATAATATTGCATTTATGGATGTGCCACTTTTGTCTATTCATTGATCTGTAATTGCTATAAAGGCTCCAATCTGGGGTTATTGTGAATAATGCTGCTATGAACATTTGTGAACAAGTTTTTATGTGGACATATGCTTTTATTTTTCTTGAATAATAGACCTAGGAGTGGAGTTGCTGTGTCATATGGTAACTATAATAATAAAAGCATAATATGCTAATTAGACCTGATGTCCTTCTAGATAAAGCTGGACAAAGCTGGGGTTGTGAGGGAAGCCTGGGTCTCGGGTGCCTGCTGGCAGTCAGAGGTAAAGTCCCAGGTGCCAGAGGGAAGCTGATGCCAGCAGCCAGGGGAAGGAAGGCCTACTCTTGCATGAATTTCATGCATCAGGCCTCTAGTTTTATTTATACACTCCTTTATGTTATCTTGTTTCTTGTCCAAGACATATTCTTTTCAAAATATTCCTCATCTGATTTGAGGAATCTATATGGTTCATAGATCAGTATAAATAGCTCCTAGCCATGTGAAAAAACTCAATCTCAATTTTAAAAAAAATGCAAATGTAAAGTACAGGATCCCTTTCTCACTTCAGATTGATAAGGATTGAATGTCTGATAATAAAACATTTTGGTATTTTGGTAAAAGTGTGTCTAAACTGGCACCCTTATAGCTTGTTGGCTACTTAACTTTATTCCAGTCCTTGAGCGTTCAGCTAAAAACAAAGGTGCCAGTTCCAGAAGAGAGAGAGAGAGAGAGAGCGAGAGAGAGAGAGAGATTTGAATTTAAGAATTTAATCTCTGAAATCTATCTTAACTCGGATGATTCAACCCTACCAATGAAGACACAAAGCCTAGAGCAATTCAGGAAGGGAAAATTCACTTCGGAATAAAAATGGCAGGAAATACCTGCAACTGAAGGTTTGCTCCGTTCCAAATAAATCCTCGGTCAGAGCCAGAAATGGTTTTGGTGTCATGATCTTGAACAAAACATCATGACAGGTTCTTGGGCCACTCACGCCTGCGCAGCGAGGGCGGTTCGGCTTGCGGGTGACGCAGCCTGGCAGCGCCGGGCTCGGTGCGGGGCTGTGGATGCACCGGTGCCCTGCGCGGTCCCCGGAGACCGCAGAGCCGTAGCCTGGCAGAGCCCGGCGCGTTGCGGGCTGTGGATGCACCGGTGCCCTGCGCGGCCTCCGGAGACACCGCAGGCCGGAGCGGCGAGGTGGCGCGCCTCGGGCTGCCCAGCGCGCTGTGCTCTCTGGCGGCCGCGGCCCCGGCTGGGACCGTGAAACCGCAGGACCACGACGGCGACACGCCTGGCAGGACTCGTATTTAGCGGTGCCAGTGCACCCACGGTCCGCGTCAAGGGCACAGGTTTGTTGTTAGATGATTAGTTGGTGCTACTCTTTGGAAACGGACACCAAGAGGTTCTCCATGGCGATAGGGGACGGTGCTCCAGGATGAGGCTGCCCTTCGCCTTTTTCTTGGGCAGAGCTAGCTCTGGGCAGACCCGCTGGCTCAACCTCAGCTGGAGCTATGCAGGTGGAACCTTGGCCAAATTTCTGCAGCAAACACTTGTGGTTTAAAAAAAAACAAAAACAAAAAAGGAGGGGCGGGGGGCACGTTTCAATTGGAATTTTATTTCAAGTCCAGTGGCTTTGGGAGGTGTGGAAGGAGGAAATCCTTTCAACCAAGGACCACATCTTCCAATTATTGGGCCAGGTGTCTATTGCCTCTCAGCTCCAAATTTACCCTTCAGGGGTGCTTGGTGGTAATGGATATAATTCCTTTAAATCATTTCTCTTTTAGAATGTTAAGCACAGTGAAGTGTTCTCAGTGGATGGTACTGGACACCGTAGGAAGAAGGGATTTCTCCTGCTGGTGCACAGGTCAAGATGACAGAACCTTGGGTGGTGCCCTGCCCCCGCCATGCACCCCAGCAAGCTCCCTCACACCCCTCACACAGGTGATGGGCCCCGGTCT